GTGAGGTTAACATCACAAATAATACTGATGAAATACATTTTGCTGCCGTCGGAAGAAAACCTTGTATCTCCATTTTTGTCGTTTTTCAGTTTTTCACATAATTTGAAAATGCATGTTGCCCTTTACATTGTGTGTAAATCTCATGATGAATGGACCAAAAGAAACAGCCCAAAATGACTTACATTAAAAGTAAAGTATGTTTATCCTTCTCCTGTAAAGTAACCATTTTGGAGATACAAGGTTTTCTTCCAACAACAGCGATTTGCAAAAACATAAGAGACAACACAATGCCTCTTAAATTTAACTACAAAACTTAGCTTGCAAAAAAATAGGTACATAACAGAATTGACAGTGTTGAAAATTACCAATAAAGCTACTGCTATTTAAGATAAAAAAAAAAACAAGCCAAGCAAGTCTCACCTGCTCTAAGACGTCCAGTTTGAGGTCCAGCTTGCTGAGCACCACATCCCCCCCCCATAGCGAGAGCTGGAGATCAGATGGCTTTAAATTCTTAATGTAGCGATTCACATAGCTCATCAACAGAGGAGTGACATAGGACTCCAGCATCCTGAATGCTCCTTAGCCCTGCACATACAGATCATAAGACAACAGACTCAGCGGACAGTGACTGATCTTTGAACTTGCCTAATTTCACCCGAACGACAGCAGTGAACCAAAGAAAATTTATCTTGATGTATCATTCAGTTTCAGGTTGTATTAGGCCAATAAATCTCATATGGTTACTGACAGCTTTTACTACTTAGCTAAAATAAAAAGTGACTGAAATATGTAACTCCTAGAATAATACTGCTTAATGTAACCAACACACAAAACATTGTATAAAATCTGTAGGAGTCAAAAGTAACTAAATGTGGAACGTATAGATATTTAGTAGGCAACTGCCATTAAAGCCAGTGTAACAAAACGAGAGGAACAACATGAATGTTTTATAAAGTAAATGTCACTTTAAATAAAACGCATTACACATTTTCATTAACATAGTTGTTAGGTTTTGAGCATGCAACGTAGCTTAATGATTGCAAATTAGAACATAAACGTACCTTAGAACTAATTAAGAATAGGTGTGATAGGGGAAAAAAATCTGTGCTTTAACGATGTTTAATAACACCAACAGTGCTCCGTTTAGGTGTACTGGTCAACCGCCAACCTCTTGAGGTATATAGCACTTCGGTGAACTTCTCTGTGGTCTTAATGTTGATTATGTAAGCATTTACGAAATGCTACACACACGTAGAATGTGTTTCAATACAGCTACAGCGTTGATAAAACAAAGTTAAGTCAAGTTAAGTCAAACGTCATAACTAACTAACCTAACTAGATAGCTAGCTAGCCAGCCAGCTCGCAATCTTGCTATTACGTAGGTTGACTATGTTTCTGTAGTCGTTTCCCGATTATTCATTAAACAGTTATGTTAACTCAGATCACCAGAAAAGCTTTGTGAAGGTTTGCACATAAAGCAGGTAGTCTAAAGTCCGCAAAAGCGGAAAAGCCGATACAGAAAAACAGCTGGAAGCCCACCTAGCGAATATTAGCTAGCTTTCCAAACAAATCGTAGCTTCGGCGAACGTTGCGTCACCGTGAAATGCCAAGTCGACACATCTTTACATGTAACCACCACTTTTAAAACTTTCTCGGAGCAGTTAAGAGCGTGTCAAACTCAGCGAGTAAGCCAAGTTCTTAGCTAACTACATTAGCTTTTGGGATAACTGTGCTGGATAACTTAGCTAGCACAGTTAGCTATTCAGCAAGATAGCGTTAGCATATGTAACTAGCCATCGGGACGTCAACGCTAAAACAAATAATTTCTGCGCATGAATTCCGATTAACCACGGATATAGCAACTGTTTGTCTTACGTTAACGCAGACGACTCAGTCAGATATCTCAGCTCCACTTAGATTCATTGCTTTAGTTTTCACAGTCCAAACGTCAATATCGCAACTTCCGCATCCAAAATTATGACTTCCGCCAAAAGAATTGACATCACTTCCCTTAAACGAGCTTCCTGAAACTTGCATTAATAACTCGCGCCTAATGAGGAAAAACGTGCAACATTGTGCATCTAATGCAGTGCTGTTTGCTGGGGACTGATAAATGTGGAACGAAACCAAATATACCTGGGCTTAATTCTTTAAGTTTGCTCTTAAAAATACCCTAAACCAAAACTGTCACAAAGATTTCTTCTACTTTCACGTTATAAATTCGTTAATATTACCATCAATATTGGTTGTTTTGTTTCGTTAAAAAGACCTTACCATTAGACTACATGTGAGTTTGCATTAGTCTATCAACTACCTTTCAGGAAAAGTTGTTTCTATTAGCATAGATGAGACTTCATATAGCCTCCAGCAATCTTGTAGCACAAACTCAGAGGAATAATTTTCAGAATTATCTCAGACAACGTGAAGCACGTGAATCTCGTGTGGAAAAAATGTGTAAAATAGCCTATACTGTGGAATCTGGACATTTTCCAAGACTCCTGATTTCTTCCCGAAATCACCTAAAAGACTATAACTCATTTCAGACTTAAACTTGTATTCAACACGAATCTGTAGGTAAAAAAAAAAACAACAGAAAAACATGACCGGGAAAAGAAAAACTTATTTGCCATTATCACAAGGTATTTCAGCAGATAGTCAAAACGATCATAAATGGGGAATATTTTGTCTCGGAAAGGTGTTTTTGTAATCTCACAATACACTTTCACTAAGACAAATTGATAATGACGATCTATTTGGCATTTTTCCAAAATATTTATTCGTTGTCCCTGAAGGCTAACGAGACCACGACAGAAAAGGAAAGGTCGGGTGAGCAAAGGAAACAGCAAGGTAGCACAATATGAGGCATTGCCCTCCATAATCACGTGGCTATTTATTTCTGTCTATTTCTCTCCCTTTGAGATTCGTATGCTGGGAAAGATTTAGGCTATTGCAATACGGGCCTGTTGTTGAGAATAATTTAGAATTTGACCCCGTTCCAAGAGTGACTACTTTCCGCTTCAAGCTATTTTGAGCTGGCCTATTCCTTTCATGTGTTAAACTGCCTCGTCTATTACGCTTTTCACATAAATTTGAAAGTTTACGAATATACCATGGGTCCCACATTAATTAAATAACATACGTGCAAACTGAGTTAGGCGAGAGTGAATTACTGAGTTAGACGAGAGTGAATTACAACTCATGTCGGGCATGTGTGGCACACTTATTAATAATTGTTTTTGTTTTTGTCTTTTTCTATTTTCTATTTTATTCTGTTCACTTACCGTAACACTTTAAAACAGCGGTCGTTTAGGTCATTAAATACAGTTCCAGCCTACAGACCTTTCAGGCTTGCCTCAGATGGTCTTATGTATTGTAAACATAATGTGTGTACATTTGTTAGCCATTGTAAGCGGTTAAAATTTTTTTTCGAGATGTAATGCATCGATAATAATGGTTATCACATAATTAAGACACAGCGTTACCCTTTTTGAACAACAACAACGACAATAACAATATTAGTAACAGATGTGTTAGTTTTAATTGCAACTTTTATTAGTTGTTTCAAATGACAAATGGTAGCATTTAATGAAAATGTTCTCCAATGTTGAACACTGGTTAATACATTATTTTTAGGGCCACTGTCGCATTGTTATAATAGAGGAATGATTATTATACCACTCACGATGCTAGGGTTATAATTATCGGACATCATAAACTGCTTGAGAAATTTATGCGCTTAAAGGATAGCATGAAATTATTTGTTTGAGTAACATTATTAAAACATCAGTAGAATAAACAGAATCAGTCTCACACTTTAGCGTAGCCTATGGAAAAACAGTAAACCTATATTAGGCTATTCCTTATCACGCCTTATTTTCTGCAACCAATATTCGAAAAATCTATGGTTTGTGTAACAGTCGATGCGTCTTCTTGTTAAAAGTCAATTGTGGACTAAATTTGTGGGCTTTCTATAAATTTCCCCAAGATAAGAAGATGCAATCTGACAGTCATCTATAGTTATATGTGAATAAAAATAACATCGTATCCTTCAACATGTCAATGAAGGAAGGCACATACACCACACCCACAAATAAAATAAAATAAAATAAAATAAAGGAGTTATCTGAATTTCTTTCATTCAAATGTGGATGTTGGTTCCATAGGCATAGATTATATTTTATCCATACAGTTATTGTCTTCCAAGTTGTTTAATTTTGGTCATAATTCTGATAAGAGCCAGAATCTATTGTGATTTAACAATCGATTTACGAATTAATAGAATTAGGTGCCTATAAATATCGAAGGATCCAGAATTATTTCAGGATCTTGTGTTTGACAATAAACTACAAGCATAGGAATGATCAGAATAAGAGGACATTTGGACTGAGTGTGGCTTACCCTCTTAGCCCAGTTAAACGCATTACGGAACATGATTGTGGGTTTCAGAAAGTCCAGTTAGTGCATGATATCGACTAAAAAGCAGAATCTAATCTTGTAATTGATAATAATAATAATAATAATAATAATAATAATAATAATAAACATGCATATATTTTTATTTTAGTTTGTAGCTCATTATAGGTAATAAAAGGCTTGCAAACGCATGAAATGTTTTGTATTGGTGCATAATAATAAGAATAATGGTAAGAAGAAGAAGAAGAATTTTTGTGGTAATATTTTAAAATAATGAAGAATTTTCAGTCAAGCCTCGGGACCTCTTATTACCACCAAAGCGACGTATTGTGATAAATATGTTCACTCATTTTATTCCTTTAAATATTATTTACTTTTGTCTTGCAATATAAAACAAGTAGCAAGGTTAGTTACATTTTAATGCGTAGCCTAGAGTGGGCTATACTTGAAAATTGAGATAGATAGATAGATAGATAGATAGATAGATAGATAGATAAAATTAAATGGAAAGCAAAATCTTCTTGTAATTAGGCCGAGCAATCCCATGTGTGCAGTGCCAAGAAGAGATTACCACCTCACGTTCATTTTTTTTTTTATTATTTCTACAATGCAGTTTACAAACTTCCACATTTGAACACAATTCGCAACACGTCTGAATGATACAGAGGTAATAAAAAACGAAAGAAGAAAATACAAACAAGAAAAAAAAAAACTAGACTATATACAAAAGTCCAGAGAGTTGCCGCAGGTCTGCGAAACGCAGGTTGCAAGTTTGTCCCCTGCTTTGGGTGCTTTCTGCCCTTAGGTCACAAGACCTCCCCGTGAGGTCTGTCCACAATCATTTCACAGCAGAACTTGTCACTGTTGACAAGTTTGTTTGTCCGTTCCGTGTTTGGTTTGTTTTAGCTTTCTAGTCCATGCAGCTAGTAGTCCCGGTGGGGTGTATGTGTCAAACTATGCCGTCGCAGGTCACAGTTGCGCCGAAACACCTTTCCGCAGCGCTCACAGGAGTAGGGCTTGATGTCTGTATGGGTGAGAAGGTGAGTTTTCAGGTTACTTCTTTGATTAAAGGTTCTTCCGCATGTGGGGCATTTGTGAGGAGACTCCTGTTTAGATTTGAAGCAAGCAAATGATTATTCCCTTTAGGTTTTAATCATAGGTGTTTAATTTAAAAGTTGCCTTATTTTAGAACTGCTGTTACTTTACATAGACGACTAAACCAGTAGAACTCAGACAGCACTTAATTACGATGACACAATCTTTCCAAATAATGAAATACATTATAGCCATGCCCGACAAGAGTTCACTTATCGGTTTAATTTTCCCATACCAACGTTTAATCTTTTTTTCTAGATCATCCTATTAATAACACTCAAATAAACCCTTGCACCATGCGCATGCACTGTTAAGGCTACTACTTAGCCTAATTATTACACATCATATTTAAAAAAGAAGAAAAACAATCAAAAAGCAGGTAAATTATAGTTTTGCGCAAATCGTCACAGAGCAATATTAGAAAAAAGGCAATTTCTCACCTGCATATGCAACGTTTTATGAACAGCCAAAGTCCGCGACTGACAAAATCCCTTTCCACACTCCTGACATTTGAAAGGTTTCTCCTTGGAGTGGATGTATCTGCAATCAGAACAAACAAACAGGAACACGAGTTAGTTACCGTCGGTGGCACCGTGTGTATTTATGTATAGTGTGTCGCACGTCGACGTTTGAAGAGTTATACAGATATAGGTTATGTCTAAAAGGGCTTTAGTGTCCGCAGACAGTCCTGCTCAAGATGCAAATCACTGTAACACAAAGTGACAGGAATATAAACGTTAACTTTATAATTATAGATTTTGCCAGACAGAATGCTGAGTGCTGCTGAGTGAACGTGACTACGACGACGTAAGAGGGAGAAAGATGTAAGAGTTTAAGTTCTTTCCTCTGTGGTGAAAAAAACTCTGTCCGCGAATTGATTGCATTACGTGTTAGTACGTACCGGTGATCACGCAGATGGTCCTGTCTCCTAAAGGCCTTATGGCAGATATCGCAGGTGTAAGGTCTCTCATCTGTGTGGGTGCGCTCGTGAATGAGTAAGTTGTAGGACTTGGTAAAATGCCTTCCACAAAACTTGCAAATAAATTCCTTTTTGGTCTTGGACGGGAGCCTGCCGCGCGGGGGCTTTCTGTCCGGTGAAAGTTTATTCAGCTCTGTGATCGCGCCGCCGAGACCAGCCGCCAGCTTCGACAGATCGCCGGCCTTTGGTGGGTCCTCTTGTGTAGCCGCAATGGCAAGGTTTGCAAAGTCAAACCGGGGTCTGTCTTTGTGCAGAGCCGGAATGACGTGAGTTATCGCCCCTTGTTTGGGATGAAAGAGGTGCGCAGCAAATGGTAGGGCAGGGAGGGGGAATCGGGGATCCATGAGGCCCTGCGCCGCTGCCATCTCTGTGATAGTGGAGCGCAGTCCCTGCGTGTGAGGATAGCCCAAAGTCCAGTGGTTCATGTGCATCGTCTGCACAGCACTAAGGCCATAGAGTCCTTGCAGGTGGTCGACGGCGGCGGGGAAGGTGTTGACCGCCTGCAGGAAGGAGTAGTTGGCGAGCTGTAGGGTCGGGTGTAGCGGGATTGGGGCCGGCAAAGTTTTACTTCCCATTTTCAGCAGCAGGCCTCAGAATAAAGATTTGATCTAACAACTTAATATCCAGTGAGTTCCTATTAAAACAAACAAACAAACAAACAATAGCAGTTCTAATTAGTGTTGCAGTCCCGTACTCAAATTTGCGCATACCCAATTTGTTCTAATTGCAATTTTGTTTTTATTGCCCCTGCAGTGTTTTCAGTTTGTAAGGTGAAAACACGGAGACGGAAACGCGGTGCGGAAGGAACTCTTAGGCAAAACCACAAACCTGTATCTATTAAATCAGCATTAAATTTAATCTGCCGAAGCATAACAAATACACAAACGGAACGTATGAGATTAGGTTCCATAAACTCTCCCTGTCGGTGTTCTCAGGTCTAATCGAACTGTTTACAATGGCAGGTATTTTTACTGGCATAAAAAGCACTGAGGGAAAATGCTGTTGTCGGAGGGAATCCCAGCGGCTTTGGCTGAGCACGGTGTGAGTCGATCACAGATGGTGAATGACCCCATCTCTGAATGATCGCCGAACAAGCAGGCTTACTTATCTAAGGAAGCGCACGATTTCGCCACTTTTAGCGTGCCTTACACTGGCCACCCCAGCATTAGGAATTAATGTTTAATTCGTTTTGCGCGGATCACCACTGTTCACCATTGTCACAACCTTTGATTGAAAACGGTTACGGACTTCATCTTGTCCTGAAATGTATTACTGCATTAGTCGAATGTTGTTGTAGTTCAGAGATAGTCTTTACAAGGTTGTAACAAGGTTACAAGCTGTTCAAATCAAGCTAATTGATTTCAAGGTCTGAAATTTAGTATAAAAATTGACTTGTAATGATTCCAGCTTAGACGTTTAAAATAATGGCCTATATAAAATGATTACCGTTTAAATTGCGAGTCACACGATGTCAGTGTACTGTAACAGATGTCATAAAGATAACAAACTATTTTCGTAGGCGATATTGTTAGACTTCAAATATAATATATTTAATCTAGCCTTATAATTAGAAAGAAGACATTTTGATGTGGTTGTAAATATAAGATACTAGATATATCTTATATAGTTGTAAATATAGATATATTAGATATATAATACTATAAGATATTACATGTCAAAGCACAATTGTCAGCAGTACTGACACGAGGTCTATAGGCTGTTGAATGTCAAATGATGCTATTATTGTTCCTGCGAATAGTACCTTACAGGTGCAAGTACCACCGTGCCTGTATTCATTTGAAAGCGCAGAATAACTGGCGTGAAATGTTGGATTCAAGTAATTAATCCTCCGCCTTGTACTATGTACTGGACCGTCTTGTGTTTGTTGGTCAAAGAACTGGTCGAAAGCCTTAATTTTCACCTCATACACAGTGTGGCCACAATATAGAATAAGATAGCTACATCACAGGAGACAAATAGCCTAATTCGGATTCTTACCCCGCAGAAATGGATGTCAAAGGTCGCGCTCAGCGAGTGCCGTTTCTCAGTAATCCACAATGACCACAACAAAACGACAAAGTTCGGCGTAACGCGAGTACAAATCTTACAGATTTGTCCATGTAAACTTCACAACCTGTCTTAGCTGGCGAGACGGTTTAAGCGTAATAACTCAATGTTTAAACATAAAAACGCAATGTTCCTATGCAATGCAGGACGCGCGCAGCCTTCGTGCTGTTGAGAAGTGTGTGAGTTCTTTGCTCTGTTGCCAGATTGCCTCAAATGCGAGTGAGGGGCAACGGGTCCAGCACTTTTCAGGGCTGCAGCTCTGGAGCGTTCAGCCCGCCCTCGACACGCCTCCACCCGCTAGCTACTCCAATGCTTTTCTCTGTTTATTTGTGTTTGGATAGCAACTACGATTCCGGGGAACGTCGCACAGCTCAACATGCATCTGACACCCCAAATCTAAACTGTAACATTTTTGGACGATAGACAATTTTCTGGAGACATTAAAGCAGATCGGGGAAAATGTTTTAAGCCCAGTTCTTGCCTCAAAACCGTGGTCTAATGACCGAAATGAAACACATATCCAAGCGTGTAATTATTGCATAAATTGCTGGCACGTGTTGGCCCTGTCATAAGCTGTTATTGTGTTAGTAGGATTCGCATTTCTCGTACACGCATTGCCGTACAGGCTACTTTTACATATTTAAAATAATCCTTAGTAGTTATTAATTTAGTTTATGTATTTAAACAAGGTTCTTTTCTTAGGAAATCTCTGTATTGACATCGTTTATTTTTAAATCAACAAGAAGCAGATTCTAAATCTGCTATTCCACTCACATTTTGGTCATAGTGAGACAGGGGAAAGGGGAAGCTTTTAAAAAATACATTAATAAAATAAATTCCATAAAACCTGGTTGATTGCAGCATATAGTCTACGTTTTTGCTAATACATCGAAACGAATTACCTTCTATTTTTTGTGGTAGTGGTAGCAATCATTTCTGACTTTTCAATAATAAGTACATTCACATTTGAACACAGATACAATACAATGTATTTAACAGTGTGCTAAAACTTTGTTCAATATTGCAGAGAAAACTTTTGTCTTTTAATGGCACTAATTAACTAATTAGATTATTATTTGATTACATTAGCGCACGAATTTATTTGTTGCCATTGTCACAAAACACTGTATTTTTTTCAAGAAAACGTACTTGTAGACTAAATAAATAGTCTTTTCTATTAGACATACAACAGACAGCAGGCAAAACACGATTCATTTAAAACCACACAAGCGTCTTATTATGACACACATTATTATGACGTGATTTAGATAATCTTACATCAGACCTGCCTTGAGGTTTAAGTGAATGAGCATACTGATCCATCCATGGCACACAATTTTGGTCTAAAGAACTTCAATATGTTGAATTAGTCTTAGGTGATGATGCTTTTTCCAAGTAAATTGGCAGCAAGAAAGCTGCACCAGTGACGTTAAATCAGTCCCCGTGAAGAAAGCAAAAGGATTTTGAGAAAGCTTTCTAATATACAGTAAATAAATACAATACATACCCTCTTGTTTGCCATCTTTACTTAATTTAGTACAATAACGTGCTATGATAAAACATGCGTTTTCGTCTCTAATACTTTAAATAGTCCTTATTCTTATATCGAGTACATTTTCAATAGTTGCCTATATAGTGAGATATATGGAATTCGTTATCTTATGTAGTCTACGGACAGTCAGAGCTCACCGGTAATACAGCCTCAAGGCGCTCGTCCCCAGCAATAGGAGTGATTTTTAACAGGTATACAGCGCCGCCTATCGGCCACAGAGGGATCACAAAATCTAGACATAGTGCACAAATACAGTGGCATCGGTAAAGTTCAATGTTTAATAAATACAAAGCAACAGAACGAACTCGAATAGAATATAGTACAAATTTGTCTGTGTCATTAGGTAAGGGAATTAGATTATACTCAAATGACAGAAGAAAATTAAATAGTAACAACTTCAACATTTCTAGAAATCATTGCATCATCTCAGTAAACACATTAAACAACAGAGTTTTAAACAATATTCGTGAGGTCTATAAGATAAGGTGGGGGTTTGTGTCCGTTAAGGCCCATGACATAGTAAATAAGAAAATTGTTACCCGATTGCATCAGACCACTTCAAAAAATTAAGTAAATTTTTTGTTTTGCTTCGGATCCTTTCAGTGGTTTGGTATGTGTGTTTAATAGATGATCTGAATGAACATAGAGACAGTAAGTTTAAAGAGTCTAATTTTTACCATTCAAAATGGAACTAACCATTAAATAGACCTATACAGCATCATTTTGAGAGTGTTTTGCATCGATCTAAAATGACACTATGTTTCATTTTCGTTTTTCCATTTTTCCATATTATGTCTTAAGGTTTAGGTTTAGACCTCTTTCAGGTTTAGACCTCTCTATGTCACTATGTGTGGTAAGGATATATATTAATTTGACTCATTTAAACATGTTGTCTCACATCTCTTTGTGACTGTTGATGTCTTTTGATGTGTTGCGCGAAGACATTTAGATGTTAGAAGTCAGCATGTTGTAGTCCAAACTGTTTGTTTTTTTAGAGAAAGTTCAAACTATCGTTAAAGTTTTATGCCATTTTTTATTCTTGTTCGAAGTCTGTCAGTTTGAAAAGGACACTTCTTACTGCTACACACCCAGAGACTACCACAGCAGAAGAGTAATGCGAGTAATTCAGTATCTGACTGCTGTATGAGTAAACTGATACTGAGGTATATAAAGCTCCATTTGGTGTCTCAGATATAAACCTTCAGACGTCCTCTAACAGTACTCTGTAGCCACAGGCCACACTCATCAACAGTGGCTCATATTCACTAATCACTTGCTGTGATGCTGCATAGCTGTCTGTCTGGACATGGTTAGCCCTTGATGCAGCTGATGTTAATCACAGACTCACACATACACAATGAGCTGTATGTTAATCAGCCTTCCCAAAAGTGTCAACGCTGCAGCAGCAACACACTTGATCTGTAATGGCTGCCCTTAACAACGAGTCAGTGGCAGTCTGCTCTCAGCCACCCAAACAGACGCTGCTGATTCCCCCAGCAGCTGTGTACACACACACTTACATACTCGTGTCTGAACGGTTGATCCTACTGTCCAGCCATTTTAGACGTCATTATCTCAGTGCCTCTCAAGACCCCAAGAGCAGTGGGGCTTGCAGGTCATACGCCATTGATCTATTCACGTGTTTATTCTAGAAGAGATCAAGGCCGGAACTACGTACTGGATCAGGTATGCATTGTGTTATAGATACAAGAAAGAGATCCTTGTTTCTGAGAGAAGTGTGTATTTACCTGTAAAGCAGTGCAGCACTGGAATAGCAGTGGGAAGTGTGTTTTCCAGCTGCTGAGGTGAGTTCTGCTTCAGGCAGAGTGAAGAGCTGTTCCTCCAGGCTCAGAGACTGCGAGAGAGACAGGCGCATGGTGAGACAGGATGTCGTCCATGTTGGCAGTGGGTTGATCTGCCCTGCTGTGGTTATACTCCCCCCTGTCTCTCTCATCCTGCTGCAGTTTGGGGGGCTGCTTTTACAAACACCCGCTTTCATCTGCTCAACATGACATTTTATACACACTCACTTCTCAGTTCTTAACAAGAACTCATTAAGTGCTTTTCTGCATTCCATAATGTGATGTGGTAATTACTCACTTTTGATATTTTTACTATTACAGAAATAACTGATGTTCCAATAACTTTCACTGCCAAGCCATTCTATTCCAAATTCTAAAATTTAGAAAAGAAAACAAGAACTGTTCTAAAACCTATGTGATGTGAAACCTGCTCTTCCAGGAAATTGTTTCTGTAGAAAATGTGATGTTTTTGTTCACATGACAAACTTCATGACAAGGCTGCATGCATTGGAGGTGAAGGTCAGCAGCAGTGCAGGTTATATGTAGTGTAAGAGGTCCCTGGGCATAAAGTCTGATCTGTGGAACACATACAAAAGGTGACCTTAAGCTTCTCCTTCCTGAGAGTAATCAGCCTTACATTCCATGCCCTATTTGGGTAGCACTAAAGTCCTGACCTATTGCATCACTACATTTTTTCCAAAACCCTAATTACATACAAAAATATCGACTAGACGATGATGCACATTACAGTCGACACATTACTTCTTTATTTGCAAATTCATATTTAACTTTGAATATTAAAAATAAAAGTATATATTTTATCAGCAGACTTTTTAAGTACCAGCTGTGGAGCACCACACATAAGAAGTGTAGGCCTATAAAATGAATAAAAAGTCTTAACCAAACTAATGGACCCAGAATTGTGCACTGAAATCATGCTGTACTCTCTCTACATGCTGAGACCCCTGTACATGTCTCAGGTGAAGTATTTTCTGCTGTCTGTCTGCTCTGTTGCAGTGTGCAGGTGGGAGTGTTTTGATGTGCTTGAACAGTATGAGATTCTAAACATCATTCTTCCTGTTGAGTTTTAGGGGGTGACTGCTGTTCTTTGTTTGAACAGCATCTCTAACCACTGAAATAGACATCTATAACCACTGCCACAAGAGCAATGCTCTCTTAATGTGTATACCTCCAGACATTCTATACTGCTTTTGTATATTTGGCTGGGGGTGTTGTGGGTGCTGGGGGGGTTGTTTGTTCCCCAAAGTACACTTAAACCAATAACATTCAGAATTATATGGGTATATAAAGGTTTATATTTAACTATAGTACTGTGAAAAAGTCAGAGACCACCTTTATTTATTAAATTTCCATTCAAAATGTACTTTTTTGCTGGCTTTAGTAAATCTTTCATGCAACTTTAGTTGCTTGAAATGTATGTGAAGCTAAACTGCACTTTGCATAATGAGTTACATAATGTAAAGCATCCAGCAACTTGCTTAAAGCTCATCCATAACAGCTTTGTGAAACAGCCAATCAACATAGCAATAACATATCATGTGATCATGACATCTGACATACAGGAAGATAAAATAGAAAATAAAACTGGAAAAGAGATGGGGGTTGAAAAGGAGACCTCCTTGATGGATAGTTTTTCATTTTGTGTTTTTTTTTTTTTGAGTGATTCTCAAAGCAATGTTTCTGTAAACAGCTGTGTTAACTAGCCAGCTAGTGGTGACACAAAAGGCTGCTTGTGTCATTGTTTATTCTTCTTTGTTAACATGGTGTTATCGTGATCTATGTAGCTAGATGTATTTTATCCTCTTTTGATGCCCCCTAATTTTACACAGATCTCAG